TCACCCCAGGTGGGGAAACTGTGTCGACGTAAGTACCGGTGGATCTCCAAGATGCCATCTCCTGCTCCATGGCAGCTATCCACTATGAGGCCCAAGGTCCCGAGGTCGCCTCAGCGTAAGTGCGAGGGGTCAGGATGTCGAAAGCGTCTGGGTCACCCTCACGGACTAGCAGCATAGAACAGAGATGGGGAGCAGCCTCATACAGGAAAGCAAGGGCCGGCTGGAACGGGCGCAAGGGCCGGCTAGGAACGGGCGCGAGGGGCCAGCTAGAACGGGCGCGAGGGCCGGCTGGAACGGGCGCGAGGGCCGGCTAGGAACGGGCGCGAGGGGCCGGCTAGAACGGGCGCGAGGGTCGGCTGGAACGGGCGCAAGGGCCGGCTAGGAACGGGCGCTAGGGGCCGGCTTGAACGGGCGCGTGGGGCGGCTAGGAACGGGCGCGTGGGGCTGGCTAGGAACGGGCGCGAGGGCCAACTAGGGCGGGCGCGGGGGCCGACTAGGGGCGGGCACGGGGGGGGGGGGGGGGGGAGGGGGGGGGGGGGGACTAGGGGCGGGCGCGGGCTAGCTAGGGGGGAAAGGGCGGCTAGGACCTAGGGCGGAAGCGCGGGTGGGCGATCTAACCTACTCATGATACCATGTCAGAAACAAAGAAATGACTAGCATGAGACAGTACAAAGGAATATATGCAAGTATGCTGTACCCTCTAAGGCACAAACCTATATTGTCTATACTAACATACGAAGATATGTTTGACACAGACATCTCAGCGAAGGCAAGCCTTAGCCATAATATTTCGCGCTACCATTACTTCAATTCATATGTGAGTTATATCCATAGCTACAAACACACATACACAGTATAGGATTGAATTCAGGTTTAAGGTTTTCTACAATACTGAATGTTGTTAATGAAACATGTATGGCATATTTGCGCACATTTCAAACTCTTTATCCCTTTAAACTCCTAGAGTATCACTACTATGATAAATGTGCAATTGTTTTGTCCTTTTATTGATTGTAAGAATGAATACAACACAATTATGCTATCAGGATAGAAAACATTCTGGCCTCGATCATAACTAGGCATTGGCAACTAATCAATACTATACATCACCTAGCTAAATTTGTTACACACCTACCTACGATCCTAAGCACAACAGGAGGAAATGACTTGGGCAGGTACGGTTGCACCTTGGAGATTAACACATGTTGGTTTCTGCACGTCCAAGTCAAAACATATGATAAGAAAAACCAGCACGATCAGTTGCAAGGAAAAACAATAGGCAAATGTCACCCCGGTTTGTAAATAGTTGCAAGAAAGAACCAAGGCATACCTCAGCATTTAGTGAGTGTGTTTCATCGTAAAGACGTTTGCTCTCGCGAGCAATGCAGACGAAAATGTCATCGACGTTGATGTCTGCTTTAGCTGACTGTGGGCAGAAATGGCAATATAGGGGAGGGGATTGCACACAAATGGCATGGTCTCTATTCACGAGCTCATAGATGCTTAGGGCGTGTCCCGCGCGTACGTTTCTCGCTCAATACCCTACCCAACCGTTTCCCAACGTTATTCGAACTTTGTGACTAGAAGAGCAGCTCACTCAACCGCAATCAAACGTACTCGCGGGACACGCCCTTATGAAGAAAAACAAGCCAAGGTTGTGGCGATGCACGATGACCATGCATTGGAAAATATATGGTCGAGGTGTATACGCATTATGGGGAAGACATGTGGAGAAGTGATACTGAATGAGAGAATGGAGTGGTGCATATTGTTCCCTTAATGCTGCTCAGTGTTTTCAAGGGGAGCAGGCATGACTCACTGTTTCAAAAAAGGGAACTCTGAACTCGCTTGCTAATTGCTGCCCTTGTTCCTTGCTAATTACCTGAACACATGGGAGGGGGAGGAGTTTATGGAAGCTATATCTGAATATAAATGCAGAGATTGAATGCATGCGTACATGAGAGTTTGAGAGAGTGGGTGGGTTAAAAGAAAGAGAAAAATATTGAGAGGGAGAGAGATAAAAATACGATTGGATATAGGCTGGCACACAGGATTTTGAAGTAGAGAGACAGAGGCACATGCACCTGAGTACATGTTTTGGCATAAAGCAAATGTGCATTGATGCATTGATGCACGTTGTAACTCTGAATAATCAGTTCAAACATTGCATTTGCACTAAGCATTTACCATAAGGGGCTTACCCGATGGGCGTCCATATCCGCCTTGTTGCCAACGAGAGTGACTCGCACCCCTTTTGTGGAATGCTCCTCAATGCTTCGGATCCACCCTCGCACGTCTGCACATAGATGATTGCATGTTTCGGTTAGTGTAACAAACAAAACAACTGGTACAAAAAGGTGCGTGTCAAACTGTTATTACCGCTTAAGAATTGGGTCAAGAAAGCATGCGTAAATAAGATCATGGGGGACCAAGAAACCTACTGTCAAAAGATGACTTGCTTGTAATGTCGTAAATGAGGAGGATGCCGTGTGCATTGCGGTAGTAGGCTGAAATTGGAATACAGAAAAAATGGACAAGTATCATACATGAAATCAGAGAATGAAAACCAGTATGATCGCATGACGAAAATCCTAGCGTTGTCGATCTGGGTATGCGGAAAATCACTGAGAGGTGCTCCTGGTGTTAACCTAAGACCAGCAGCTCTTAAGTTCACTCTGAAGATGGACTGAAAGGCATGCTAGACCCCAAGTAGAGCATGTAAGAGCTCTTTTAGTGATGGAAGGAATTGACTGAGCATGTAGAGTACCTTCAGTGATGGTGCGATATCTCTCCTGCCCTGCGGTGTCCCATTTATGGTGCGGAGCGGTCAGCTTCAGTGATGCTTGGTACAGTGCGGTGACCTCATACTCTAGTATTAGTACCTTCAGTGATGGTGCGATATCTCTCCTGCCCTGCGGTGTCCCAGATGGACACCTTCACTCTCTCCCCATCAATGTCCATCGTGCGGATCAGGAAGTCAACCCTGCGAATAGAAATTAGAAAGAAAGAAAGAAAGAAAGAAATAAAACATAATTTTTGAGGCGGCTCAAAAGCTTGCGGTGCCCCAGATGGATATCTTCACTCTCTCCCCATCAATGTCCATCGTGCAGATCAAGAAGTCAACTCTGCAGTAAAATATTGCAAGACAGTTTAGAGTTTGGTTATCGTCACGCGGGTTGCACATAGAAGGGATAGCTTCACTGTCTCCCCGTCAATGCCCATCGTATGGGTAAAAAAAACATAGAATGGATAGCTTCAATGTCTCCCAACATATGTCATCATGCCAATCAGCAGTGCAAGGAGGGAGGGGAAGGAAGAAGAACCAGGAAAAGGCAAGATTGTGCGCTGATCATAACGGAGGGTAGTTTTGAGGTCGTGAGTCAATATCAAGTCAACGAAAGTCAACAAATGTCATCGTGAGTCCATCCCAATTTTCCCCAAACCGAAACCGCTCAAAGTGAGTTCAAATAGCCGATGGTGGATCATCCGTTCAGTTTCACATGATGTGACCTCGGAGGTCATGCCTAGAAAATTTGGGGTTAAGTCACCTCAAGAGTCAACTTCCTTTCGTCAAGTGAAGTGCGCATACCCGATCGTGGATGTGAGATCGTGTCTGAAGTCGTTCTCTGAGAAGCGAAGCAGCAGACTGCTCTTCCCCACCGCTGCCATGGGCCGTCCGTGGAGATAATGGATATTGGGAGATTTTTTTTCATTCAAATGGGGAATAAAAGAGAGAAAAAGGTGAGAGTGGCACAACGGAGAGACGATTCAGCATCGTTACGACTTAGATTCAGATGAGAAGTGTAACTTTCAGCAAGGGAGAATGCTGGAGCGGACGTGTGAGCTCAAAGCATCATCATACGCCATGGACAAGGGTTTTGTGGCTACTAACCATGATTTGTGGTTCCGAACCACGTGGTTTTGGGTTCCGAACCATGTGGTCTTGGGGCTCCGAACCATGTGGTTTTGGGGCTCCGAAACATGCGGTTTGGGGTTCCGAACCACGTGGTTTTGGGGTTCCGAACCATGTGGTTTTGGGGTTCCGAACCATGTGGTTTTGGGGCTCCGAACCATGTGGTTTTGGGGCTCCGAACCATGTGGTTTTGGGGCTCCGAACCATGTGGTTTTGGGGCTCTGAACCACGTGGGTTGGGGTACCAAAACACGTGGTTATGGGGTTCCGAACCATACGGTTTGAAGGTCTAATTGGCGTTTCAGCAAGTCAAGTCCGGGCATCTTTTCAGTCCTCAGGATTTTACGTACCACTATCTCCGATTAGAAGCACCTTCAGCGCAGCTGCGAGTCTGCTCTTCTGTCCACTCGAGACGTCGCTAATCCTGGGCACATCTCTGACCTTGGACATTCCACCGCTCCTGGAAACTCCACTCATTCTGGAGATCATTTCACTCTCTTATCAAGGGCTAAGGCGTGAGCCTGACTTTATCAGGTCGTGTTTCAAGGAGATTCGAGACGCTACAAGGGAAAAAATACGGCAGAGAAGGTTTTCCGTTGCTCTAGATAATGGGACGAAGGCTGTAAGCCTTGTGTACACAATAAGGAATTCCTGATCACGAGAAGACTACTTGTGGTGCTCAAATCTTGGTTTCTGTGTCTACCTTAGCAACATTTCACAAATTTCAGCAATTCCCGAATCGCCTGATCCTCGTGAAATTACGAGTTTCTGTTTGGACAGAACGTGGGACAGAGGGCATGCCTCCCAGCCGCGACCTGCGCCAGCCAGGATGACCAAGCCTGACTCGAGCTTGCCGAAAGCCTTTCAACCAATCATGCGAAGTCACGGTGTTCGCCAGGCATTCACGCCAGTGCCGTGCTGAGCGGGTCACGTAACCCCTCGCAACCACGGCACGCGACTTCGTGCTTCTTCGCTGTTTCCATACGCTGTAGTGAGGTTTGGATGAAGGCTCATCAGAAGTGTTTTCTGGTTGACGGAACACACCAGGCCTACAGGTTCGGTACTCGGTAGGATGAGTCTCGCGGCTTGTACAACCGTTTTATTTATCGATTATCATGAAATGATTATCTTGGAAGCTAACACCATGTGCCTTTGAAACTGGGCTCGTAAATGAACAAGGGCCGGAGTTTTTCACATCATATATCATATATCACATCACACTAAAGAACATAATGTTTAAGCTAACTGGCCGCCTTACTTCTTCCACTCGTCCGGGTTGTAAGAGGGCGGCGGGCGTGGCACAATGCTCTTCTTCCATGCACGGTCGAGCTTTCGCGACTCCCTCTTTCCAACGCCCTGCTCCAGCTCCCTCTCCCTCCTCACAGTCAGCATCCGTGCAACCTGCCGAAGACAGAAGTCACAGAGTGGAACAGAAGGAGAAATGAAACACACCACCCACCCCTACAGCAGCACATGCCATTATATATCAGACATGGGGGAACATATCACAGCACAGCACAGCTGCTGTCACCCATGCAGGAGGAGCACGGGGGGAAGGAGCACGGGGGGAGGAGCACGGGGGGAGGAGCACGGGGGGAAGGAGCACGGGGGGAGGAGCACGGGGGGAGGAGCACGGGGGGAGGAGCACGGGGGGAGGAGCGCATGGATCTGCATGCACAAGCACATGTGCTCTTCATGTCAGTCCACCCTGTCTCTGAAGGGCAGCCAGAGCCACTCCTGCTACACCTTTCCACGGAGGTTTATCTCTGCCCTCAAGCAACTGCCACCGTGGCCTGCACCCACGGATCAGGCACACTGGAGTCTGGCAACACATTCTTTCCACAAATACAATCCGCTCCGCTCTTCCTTTCCACTTCCTTTCCGTCCCTGGCCGTGCTTATGAGCTGGCGCGCTCTCCCCCTCTCCCCCCAAATCCCCCTCCCCGCTCTCCCCCCTCCCCCACCCTCTCCCCCCTCTCACCCCCCCTTCCCCCCTCTTCCCCTCCCCCTTCCCCCATCTCCCCCCCTTTTCCCCCCTCTCCCCCCCCCTTCCCCCCCACACCCCTCTTTCCAAACCAAGCTCCCTGCTCCCCCAAGCCCTTTCGCGTCAGCGGGTTCCTCCTGTTCACCTCGGACTTTCGACCACCCCCTCTCCCTGTCACTCTCGCCCTGGCTCAATCCCCCAACCCCCCTCTTCCACTTCCCAGCCCAAGTCTCCCACTTGTGGATGCGGCCGAACTCGCTGAGCTTGAACTCAAGAAGAAGAGCCTGTCCCATTTTACAGATTTCCCTGCATCTCTTTCCCCTCCCGCGCTTCTTCCTCCCCTCCCCTTCCCTCCCCCCTTCCCGCCGCACCCCCCCCCCCCCCTCCGCCTCCCACCCGTGCATTCACTCACCCGCGTGTGGATTCGACCGAACTCGCTGGGCTTGAACTCGAGGCGCGTGGCCTGCTTGGCGCGCAGCAGGAAGAGCTCGCCCTTGAGGTCCACCACGGCCTGCTCGATCTCCGCCGATCCCATCGCGCGGATCTCCGCCAGCTCCTCCTGCTTCTTCACCGCGCTCACGCGCACTGCTCCGCCGGACGCGGAGGCGGATGTGCTGGAGCAGGCGAGGGAGGGGAGCGAGAGGCGCTGACTGCTGACGTGGCAGCTGCGGGAGCTGGAGAGGTTTGCCAGCCTGGCAGCCTGGGGAGGGAAAAAGGGGGGGAGGGGGAGGGGAAGGGGGTGGGGTGAAGGGTGGAGTTGGGAAAGAAGAAAGAGGAGCAGAAGAAAGTGAAATGAATTTGCAAGATTCGTGAGGGGTGTGGGTTAGGATGAAGTGGCTGGGGCAGAGGAAGAAACTGGGAGAGGGAGCAGCCTGACGGCCAGTCAGTCTACAAGCAGGTTAGAGAAACTGTGGTGAAGACGACGAGACTGCTCAAAGCCGGGAGTTTGATGCCCTGTTGTTACTAGCCATTGAGACGCCATTTCTGAGAGGCGCTAGCCATTAGTACTTGTTTGCGGACGTGACATTTCTCGTCGTGACCTTTCACAAATCCCGTACTGAGAGGAAAGCTAAAACCGAACGACGTATCGGCACCAAACATGAAGCTCTGGTAGGGACGTGGCAAGCACGAAGCAGGCTCGGGTTAATGACAAGAGTCTCGCTAAACCCTGCATAAGTCTCCGCCCGACATGGAATTCACGAGAAGATTCTCGGTAAGAAATGCCTGCGACTGCTAAGAAGAAACTCGCTGAGACGAAGTCAATGGGGCCTTGAAGTCGGAAAAAACTCACGAAACCCTAAAACGACGATACGACCAGGCATTCTGCGAAAAAATAGAGCCTCAGGGATTGCCGTAAGAGCTTAATCTGCTGACAAAGAATCATCGTGTGCGAGTCGAAAAAAGGAAAAACGAAGGGGATACGGACTAATGTGGCTTTTAGCCTTCACCAGATGGCGACAATGAACTCGCTGGAGAGCGATGCATTATCATCTGTGAACGATGCTTCAGGACGGCTAATCCTCTTGACTGTAACGCTGGGAAATCTGAAATCGATGACGCGCGTGCGAGGACCGGAAAAGAACGACGCGACGCAACAATCGCGAGAACCATAAAACTAGCCGAACAGCACGAAACCTTGACAGCTTTGTCACAGCGCGAGGTCGAGGCTCTCTACTCCAAACCCCGCACCCTCACCGTGCAGGCAGAGGCTTGCTGCAAGCAGAAAAGCGACGAGGACGCCATGGCTCCACGAGTGCAATCGACGGTTGAACCAAGTGCAGCCTAAGTGGCTCACGGAGTAAGTTGCTGCACTCTAAGAAGACCAAGGAAAATAGTGAGATTGGGAAAAGCTGGAGGGGAGGGAGGGGGAAAGGAATGGGAAGGGTGTGTCACAAGAGTTCAGGACCACTCAAAACGGTTTATATCGGTTCGTCGGGTTTCAAAGCGGCAGAATAGAAGAATCGTTTTGTAACTCGAGGAACCGCCCTATACCGCGGGAAACGAACATTTGAATTTACTCTTCTGACGGTGAAAGAGATGGTGGGTGGGGGGTCCTAGGGATTGGTCGGGCTGGATGTGAGGCTGAGATGGTGACGTGGAACGAGGAAACGTGGAGGCCTCTCTGGGGGCATTTCGTTTACTAGTGGTATTCGGTAGGAAATAATGGATAAGCAGGTGTTAGAATGAGTGAAGGGAGTAAAGAACCAGCGAGTGAATAAAAATAACAGGTTGAGTAAATATGGACAAAATGATTAAATATGGAATTATAGGAAGAGATTCCAAGGGGAAATCTTGGATAGGAGACATGATTTGAAGCTGAATTAATGGAAAGTTTTGCAAGCTGTGATATCTAGCTATAACACTGGGTATAGCAAAAATAAATTGTTACAATTCGCCCTCAGGGCGTGCCATCAGCGTTCACTTTAGTACGGTTGAGCAAGGTGCGGAATGTTTTGAAAGAAGTTGACTGGAAACTTTAAACGGTTGGGTGGGGTTCCGAGGAAAATACGAACGCTTATGACACGCCCTGAATATGGCCGCAAAACAAGTTTCCTGAACTTACTATTCCAGCAACTGTAAGGGCTGGTCCAAATAGAACACCTGATTGCGGTGCAGTAACTTGCTTTACATTTCACAGCGTTCGAAAAGGAACCTAGAATGGTTGGGTAGGGTGTTCGCGTATTTGCCCTAAGGGCGTGTCCTAAGCGTTTTTGAGTTGCATAACAACCTATTACGATCGATTTTGCCGATTTTTTTTTTCCACACAAAATTTTGGAAGGAAAACCTTTGCACAATAAAATATGACCTACATATTTTTTTCCTATTACTATAACAAGATGCCAGGGGTGTTTATCATATGATTGTAATTATATGCATATATTTTGGAATAATATTTGCATTATATTTGGCTGATTTTTTGTGTACTTTGAAAATTCGGCAGGTCTCTTGTTTGATTGCATCATATCGTTGTGTACGGATCCAATCGAGTCCTGCAAGAAAGTTCATGTCATAATTGATGACATGAATAAAAAGCAAGTGTGATGATTATGTGTAACAATGAAAAACTCAAACTCTAAGCTACCGCTTCCCCAGCACTAGAATGGGGGGGAAGACAGCAAGCTTAGTGTCTGAATGATTAAATGTGACATGGAGCAACGCAATCTGTAAGGTCCAAAAAAAGAACCAAACCAATCAAATCCAGTTCAAATGACAGAAACTCAAAGAGCTCGCCCGTGGACCTTTTGTGATTTGATAAGTATGCTTTCTTTTAAAAAAAAAACATACGTACATTGCTACTGGAATGAATTGTGGATCGAGAATGAGATCAAACAAGAGCAGCAAGATGCATCAAACCAAACACAAGACGCCAGCAATGATAAAATATAAAGCTGAAAAATGAGATAATGGAAGATCCCCACGAATTACAGCTAAATGCCATACGGAGCTCATAAACTCGTTTACAAGAAAACCTGCACAAAATTAAAGTGGATGAAGGTGGATAGTGGATAGTATATTAGGCATTGCGTATGCAAAGAAGTGAATAACAATCAGCTAGGGCGAGAATGAATGAGAATGTGAAGTGAACACAAAATGTGATTGTGAAAGGAAAGAGACGAAGAGAGAGGAAAAGAGAGAAGTTGAAAGAGAGGTAGAGAGAGAGGGGGAGAGAAAGAGTGAGAGAGAGAGAGAGAGAGAGAGAGAGAGAGAGAGAGAGAGAGGGGGGGGGGGGGGGCAGAGAGAGTGAGCGGGGCATTGCCAAGAGAGAGAGAGAGAGAGGTAAAGGACGAGAGGGAGAGAGGTAGAGAGAAAGGGGTAAAGAGAGAGAGGGCGAGAAAGGTAAAGAGAGAGAGGGCGAGAAAGGTAAAGAGATAGATATTGAAAAAAAAAGGGGGGGAGGAGGGCAAGGAGCAGGTGTTCTACGAGAGCAATGCGGAGTACGAGGCCATGCTGGGGCCACGTCCCACTGCCATCCCCCTCGCCACCTCTCTCCCCCCCTCCTACCGGGGAAGGAGTGACCAGGAACAGGGGGGGTAACTGGGGGACCGCGGTGGGGGAAGCGACGGTAGTAGGAGACAGATTCGTCAAAGGTGACGTCGCGAAAGTGAAAGAAGCGGTGAGACGGCGGGTGGTAGAAGTGCCAGTCGGACGCGTCAAGGGGAAAACCGAGGAAGACGTAGGGAAGGGTGCGGGCAGTGAGCTTGTCCGTGCCGGAGGCACGGACGTGAGCAAGGCAGCCCTAGACGTGGAACGCAGACGCGTCACTAGGAGACCTAGTCCAAAGACGGGTCGGCGAAACCTGCGGCTGCTGGGGGTGCGGCCACAGGTTAAGCTGGTGAGAAGCGTAGCGCACAGCGAACGGCCACAGAAAATGGGGTGCACCGGCATGGATCATGGAGGTGCGAGCCACCTCCATGACCAAACCAATGCGTCGCTCAGTGACCCCATTCTGCTGTGAGGAGTCCGGTAGGGTGAACGTCTGGGTGATGCCCTCCGCACGACAAAAGCGATCAAGGACACCTGAGGCAAACTCGCCACCACGGTCGGAGTGAAGGCGCAAGACAGGGAGACCTCGGTGGACACGGGCAGAGACAAGCCAGGGGATGAGAGCGTCAGGCACGTCGGCCTTCCGCTCCAGGGGAAAGACCGAGGTGTAGCGAGTGAAGTCGTCGACAAGCACAAGGAAGTAGCGCTCTCGACGCGGCCCATGGACGAGGGCGGGGCCCCACACGTCCATGTGCAGGGTCTGCAGCGGCGCGGTGGTAGGGGGAAACGAGGAGGAGTGAGGGGAACGGCGAAGCTGACCCTCGACGCAGGGCGTGCAAGGTCGGGCAGGGGAGGAGGGAAAAGCGGGGAGAGAACCAGGGAGACCAAGGACGAGACCGTGCTGGGACATGTGACGCAGACGCGGGAGCGCTGGGTGACCTAGGAGGTGCTGCCAAAGGAGAGTCGGGTGAGTGAGGGACCGACAGGAGCAGGCAGCAGCAACCTGGGTAGACGCAGCCACCTGAAGGGGTGCCCCAGCCGGGGGGTCACGGTGTCCAGAGTGAACAGGCCAGACACCAGGTCCCAGGGGAACGTGGACAGGGGGGCACCAGTGGCGGCCTCGGTACAGACAGCATACCGCTCGTGACCAGGGAACGTAGTGGTGACGCCAAGGTCCTGGAGGCAGCCGACACCAACTAGGTTCCTGGAGAACGAGGGGATATGCAGACTTGTAAGAGAGCCCGAGAAAACCGCCGGACAGGGAAGGGTGGTGGAACTGCGGGCGACTACCGGACCGCCGGAAGGGTCAGCAAGAGAAATGGCAGCAGGAGCAGGAAGCGGCGTCAGTGTAGTAGAGTCGCGGAAGAAGCACCGGGAAGCGCCAGTGTCCAAGGTGAAGGAAAGCGAAGCAGTGGCGTCCGGCGACGGGGCGACAGCGGAAGCACCAAGGCTAAACAAACCAGGGGATCCTACGCCTGACGCAGCAGGGGAGGCTAAGCTAGGCACACCTACGCTAGACGATAGGGAGTAATAAGTGGGGAGCGCACTAGAGTCATCAGCATACATCACATGCAGAGCAGAAAACAATGGCATCCATGTCCATGTAAAAAATCTGAATCCTACGACTAAGCAAACAGTGCCTGTCTGGGAGGTCTGGGGAAGGGCCGAAGCGCTGACAAAACAGGTCGTCCAGGCGACGAAAACAGCGGGGAGTGGTATGACCGATCTTACCGCAAACGAAGCCGCGGCGAGGACCGGTCTGGATCTGGTACTGACAACGCACGCTTCCTGAACCACCACTCGGCACACCACCACGTGCCCGACCACCTCCAGTGCCGGGTCACCCGGGCGGAAGGACACTCGTCTGCCTCGTCTGCGGGGACTGCTGCGACTGCTGCGGCTGGTGCGGCTGCTGCTGCGACTGCAGAGGCGGTGGCTCCGCTGGACCAGGCAGGGTCCCCTCGTCCGCTCCAGCACTAGACGACCCGACTCCACCACCACCGCCTCCTGCACCCCCGCCTCCTCCGCCGCGCCCAGCCTTGGGGCGGCGGCCCTTCCCCGAACGAAGCTGCGCTGCAGCAGCAGTCTCAGCTACAGCGGCAGAACCGTCGGAGAAGGTACACTGAGCGGGGGCACAACCCTGAAAGATAGGGACCGGTACGGTACCGCTCGCCTGGGCAATGGAGCGGTGGCAGATCTCGATAACAGTCAGGGTGTCTACAAAGTCGGGGAGGGTGAGCTCACCGGGGTGGATGCTAAAGAAGCGGTCGCGGGCGGCGGCAAGGCGGTTAGGGAGGCGGGTGGCAAGCAGGTAGAGGGTAGAGGTAATGGGCGGCTGGTGGGCTCTAAGCTGTGTGTCAGTGCAGGCAGCGCGCCAGGTCTCATCTATCGAGCGCAGGTGGGCAGCTAGGTCAGAGATAGTGGGGAAAGACGCAAGGTCGGGAAAGAGCATCGGGAGGATAAGGCGACCGACCGAGGCAGCAGGAGGGGTGGAATAGCGCTTGATGACAACATCTAAGTAAGCTTGGGCGGTAGTGATTGACCTAAAGCGAGGGCGCTCAGACGAGGGAAGGGCATTGCTAATGGCAAGCTGAGCGACAGCGTCTCGGGAAAGCCAGACAGAGCGCGCAAGGGCAGTGGCTGCAGTAGACTCTCGCTCAGCGGGTGTGGGATCAGCGGGCAGAACAGCAGGGGGGTCTGGGCAGAGGTGCGTACCGTCAAGGTGTGCGGAAAGCGGGTGGCCATCCTGCCGATGACGAGTGAGGTGGCGACGGAGGTCGGCGAGCCAAGCCTCAAACTCCAGAGGCTGGCCTTCAGCGTCGAAGCGAAGCTCCGCCGCCATCAGGAGCAGTGCAGGACTGTGCAACGCGGTGCAGTGCGATGCAGGGCGGTGCAGTGCGGTGCAGCGTGGTGCAGCGCGGTGCAGTGCGGTGCTGCACGGTGCAGTGCGGTGCAGGGCAGTACCGTGCAGTGCAGTGCGGTGCAGAGCTGTGCAGGACGGTACAGTGCGGTGCAGGTGATGAGGAACAGTACCAGGGAGGATGCAGGGCCGGGGCAGGGACGACGGGCGGGCCGCACACAGCTCGGGGCAGGACGGGCGCGGGGGCTAGAAGCAATGGGCACCAGGCCGACGGGACGGGCGCGGGGCCGGCTGGGATGGGCGCGGGGCTGGCTGGGACGGGCGCGGGGCTGGCTGGGATGGGCGCAGGGGCCGAGAAGACGGGCGCGGAGGGCGTGAGGGCGGACGTGGAGCCGGCTGGGACGGGCGCCAGGCAGGCGCGGCGGGGTCAAGCAGGCGCGGCGGGGCCAGGCAGGGCGCGACGAGGCCCAAGAGGGGCGCGACGGGGCCCAGAAGGGGCACGGCGGGGCTAGGGGGGACGCAACGGGGCCCAGGAGGGGCGCGACTGGGCTAGGAGGCGCGACGGGGCCCAGGAGGGGCGCGACTGGGCTAGGAGGCGCGACGGGGCCCAGGAGGGGCGCGACGGGGCTAGGAGGCGCGGCAGGGCCCAGGAGGGGCGCGACTGGGCTAGGAGGCGCGACGGGGCCCAGGAGGGGCGCGACTGGGCTAGGAGGTGTGACAGGGCCCAGGAGGGGCGCGATTGGGCTAGGAGGCGCGACGGGGCCCAGGAGGGGCGCGACGGGGCTAGGAGGCGCGGCAGGGCCTAGGAGGGGCGCGACTGGGCTAGGAGGGGCGCGACTGGGCTAGGAGGGGCGCGACGGAGCCTAGCTAGGGTAGGGGCGGAAGCGGTAGGCGGGGGATCCTAACTTACGTATGATACCATATTAAAGTGAGAAGTGGATGATTGAGTAGAGAGAGAGAGTACATGTGAATATACCTAAGTGTTGTACCCTCTAAGAGGTGGCCCTATACAATCTATGCAAACATAGGAGATACACATGTTTGACAGTGGCCAGATTCGTTTGTCACAAGTCGTCTACAGTGGGAACAACCACCACATAATCAAACAGAATCACAACAAATCCCAGCGTCAGGGCATTTGACGGAAAGGCGGGAAAAAAAAAAAAAAAAAAAAAAAAAAAAAAAAACGCGCAAAAAACAGAGGATACATTACTAAATTTTGGCTACAGTGGAACAATAAGGGACCAAACGTTTCAGAATTTTGTACAAGTAGAAACGAACAGCAGTAGAACCAATTCAATCAGCGTTGCACGATTTTGAAACAGTGGCGGAAACTCTGATTCACAAGGTATAACTTAAAGCGCATCAAAATAAAGTAAATACATATGTACATGAAAGACAACTATGTAACTATTTCTAACTGTGATAGATGCAATGACATTGTATGTATTTTTATTAATGCACTGATATGATATACACCATCGATTGAATATTTCACATAGAATATATGAAATAACTATGATATTTTCACATCAAAGCTTGATAATTAGCTTAAGTATATGTATTCTACTTATATATATACATATGTAGGCTCCGCAACCCTAAGACGATTGCGTCGTCTCTTGTTTTTTTTGCCAATACCCCACCGAAACGTGTTATGGTGTTATTTGATATTTTTGAAACGCAATTCACCTCATTCAAACGAATTCGGACGTACTTTTGGGACATGCCCTAAGGACCAGTGTCGTGTCGTCATCGGACCCACCTCCCCTTTCCTCCTCTCTCCAACATCCCTTCGCCTCTGCCGCCGCCCCTCCCACAGGCAAAGCAAGGGCTTCTCTACCGTGCACTGTACATGGGAGGGAAGGGACTGTTGACGGGCGGGATCTTCCTCAGGCTGGACCTGGGCCCACCCTTCATGCACACAAAAACAAGGGAAGGGAGGTGGGAGGTACAGTCCAGGGAGGTAGGTAGGTTTCTTCGCTTGTCCACTCTGCTCCTTTGGTTCTTCCGCCTCCCTCGTGTGCTTCATTTCCGCGCGCCTGTTCGCAATCCCGGCTCCGCGCTCCCCGCTTCCGCTCTCCGCGTTTTGTCCGCATCCCCTACCGCCGCGTCCCTTATTAGTTCTCCGTCCTTAGCTTTTGTCGCCTCGACCCCGAATCGCATCCCGAAGCTCGCTCCCGAAACTCGCATTCTTAGGGTCGCATTCCGAAGCTCGCATCTCGAAGCTCGCATCCCGAAGCAGCTCGCCAAACACAGCTGCGTCGTTGGAATGTCCTTAGTCAAGAAGTGACACAATGGGGGTTTAACTCAATGGGGAGCTTCTTAACGGGTAGTGACACCATGGGCAGTGACGTAATCGGTAGTGACGTAGTGGGGAGTGACGTAATCGGAAGTGACGTGATGCGGGGTGACGTAGCGCGGAGTGGCGTAGTGCGGAGTGACACAAACGGGGGCCTGTTCCGGCCTATTTTAGGATGGCAGTGGCGGCGGCGGCAGCGGCAGGAGCGGCTATGTTGCGTTTGCGCGCTCGTGCTCCTCTTGCTCGCGCCGACCATGCAGTACCATCGGCAGCACCCGCTGCGGCACCCGCTGCGGTCTCAGCTTCCGCAGCAGCGCCTGCCGCGGTATTCGTCTGGCGCCATGGCGTCTTGGGGCACGCGCGTCTTCCCGCCTGATTGTGAGTCAAAGGTGTCACAAGTGGTTGTAACGGGTTGTAACGGACGGGTTGTAACGTACGGGGCTTGTGCGAGCGGGTTGTGTAACGTATGGGTGGTGATGTACGGTTTGTACCGTACGGGTTGCAACGCACAGGGTGTGATGTACGGGTTGAGCATACGGGTTGTAATGCAAGGGCTGTAACGGGCTGTAACGCGCGGGTTGTAACATACAGTCGGTAAGAGTGGGGCTGTAACATGTTGTTGTATCTGTAACGCACGACTTTGTAACGTACGGGATGTAACGTACGGGTTGAACGCACGGGTTGTAAGGTACACCTAACTGGTTGAAACACTTGGGCTGTGAGATATGTGGTTTTAGCCGTGGATTCTATTTCCGTGGTTTCTAGTCCGTGGATTTAGCCCTATGGTTTATCTAGCACAGCTGCTCATGGATTGCTGACACGTGGACTGTGGGTCGGTCCTGTGGATGTATTGCATGAGCTGTATTGCATGAGCTGTAACGCATGAGCTGTAACGCATGAGCTGTATCGCATGAGCTGTAACTCGTAGGTCGACCCTTTTAGACGGCTGATTTTTGTGAACCCTAATCGCAGCCCCCAAGGCATATTAGGGCGGACGAGCGATCAGCACATGCTCCACTCGCTGTCGCCCCTGTCTGTCCCTTGCTTTGAGGCCGAGCCCTCGTTTCCCTAAGGGCTGTCGCCCCTGTCTGTCCCTTGCTTTGAGGCCGAGCCCTCGTTTCCCTAAGGGCTGTCGCCCCTGTCTGTCCCTTGCTTTGAGGCCGAGCCCTCGTTTCCCTAAGGGCTGTCGCCCCTGTCTGTCCCTTGCTTTGAGGCCGAGCCCTCGTTTCCCTAAGGGCTGTCGCCCCTGTCTGTCCCTTGCTTTGAGGCCGAGCCCTCGTTTCCCTAAGGGCTGTCGCCCCTGTCTGTCCCTTGCTTTGAGGCCGAGCCCTCGTTTCCCTAAGGGCTGTCGCCCCTGTCTGTCCCTTGCTTTGAGGCCGAGCCCTCGTTTCCCTAAGGGCTGTCGCCCCTGTCTGTCCCTTGCTTTGAGGCCGAGCCCTCGTTTCCCTAAGGGCTGTCGCCCCTGTCTGTCCCTTGCTTTGAGGCCGAGCCCTCGTTTCCCTAAGGGCTGTCGCCCCTGTCTGTCCCTTGCTTTCAGGCGGAGCTCTCGTTTCCCTAAGGGCTGTCGCCCCTGTCCATTGCGCTGCACGACAAGCCCTCGCTGCTCTGAAGGACCGGCCGGCCACGTGGCTTTCGTTAACCCTAATCGCAGCTGCAAGGCGTACTGGACTGGTTGATTGGTCTGCCCCACTCATGAGGGTCCGCATAGACCCTCATCGTCTCTCCCCCCACTTCCCGCTCCCCCTTCCCCCATTTCCCTGTTCCTTCCCCCTCCCTCCCCCCACCCCCCTTTCCCCCACCCACCCCGCCCCCCCCCGCACTCCCTCGCCCCCACGCCAGGGCACGCCCTCGTGGCTCCCAGGGTGCAGCCGACCTTTGTCAACCCTAGCCGCAGCCCCCAGGCGTACTAGACTGGGAGAGTGGTCAACATACCCTTGTCTCTTCGGTTCTGATTCCTCCTCTTTCCCCGTCTCCCTTGAGTGCAGGGCGGTCCCTCGTTTCTTTAAGGGACCAGTCGACCTTGTCAACCCCAGCTGCAGCCCCCAGGCGTCTGGAAGTGTGATCTCAACAACCCTAGCCTCTTCTCTCTCCCCTTGTGCCGTGTTCCGCGCAGGGCAAGCCCTCGTGACTCTCAGGGACCAGGCGACCTTTGTCAACCCCAGCCGCAGCCTGTAGCACAGTATGCGTGTGGAAGAGTGGTCCCAATACCCTAGCCTCGTCTCTCTCCCCTTGTCCCTTGCAGGGCAAGCCCTCGTGGCTCTCAGGGACCAGACGACCTTTGTCAACCCCAGCCGCAGCCCCCAGGCGTTCTGGAAGAGTGGGGATAACTGCGAGGCTCTGTACGGGGTGGTGTGCGACATCAACGGATTTGTTACTGCGCTGTGAGTTCGTTGGTTGGTGGTAACCCTACGCACAGCCCTAGGGTGTCCTGTGCTGTGAGTTCGTTGGTTGGTGGTAACCCTGTGCACAGCCCTAGGGTGTCCTGTGCTGTGAGTTTGTTGGTTGGTGGTAACCCTAACCACAGCCCTAGGGTGTCCGGTAGGAGTGGGAGAAGTGCGAGGCTCTCTACGGGGTGGTGTGCTGCGAGATCAACGGTTGTGTTACCGCGCTGTGAGCAGAGGAGGCGGTAACGGTTGTGTTGCCGTGCTGTGAGCAGAGGAGGCGGTAACGGTTGTGTTACCGCGCTGTGAGCAGAGGAGGCGGTAACGGTTGTGTTACTGCGCTGTGAGCAGAGGAGGCGGTAACGGTTGTGTTACCGCACTGTGAGCAGAGGAGACGGTAACGGTTGTGTTACCGCGCTGTGAGCAGAGGAGGCGGTAACGGTTGTGTTACCGCGCTGTGAGCAGAGGAGGCGGTAACGGTTGTGTTACTGCGCTGTGAGCAGAGGAGGCGGTAACGGTTGTGCTACCGCGTCGTGAGCAGAGGAGGCAGTGACGGTTGTGTTACCGCGCGCGCTGTGAATGATTAACCGGGTGGCTGATGAACTGTTTCTTAGAAGCTAAGTGTTAGATCAGCTCAGAAGCTAATTGTTGCTGCAGTGCGAGGGTCGTTCAAGCCTGTAGCCATAAGCGTCAGGGCGAGCAGAAGCTAGGAGAAAAAACTTTACTGTTAGAGTAACCGTAGGTAAAGGGATACCCCTGTCTAAGAGATTTCTCTGTAACCTTTCTCTCTCGTGTCTCAGTGTAGTCTTAGCTTTAGATCCACTCAGGGAGCGTGCTGCGGATCGAATCCATTTTTTTTTCCATCTGTATAGCGCCCCTGCTCACCTTGATTGATTTTCACTTCTCACATTTGACACACTTCTTACCTTCCACACTTCTCTTCTTTCCTTTTGGCTACTGAGAATTGTCCAGAACCAGCTCACTTTGTATAGCGCCCCTGCTCACCTGGCATCTTACCACACCTCTCCACCTTCTTTCTTTCTGGCTACACCGCAGCACCCTAGTGGGAGTGGTGGGGCCCCTCCCAAGCGCCGTTGGCAACCTCCCATCACTCTCATTCCTGTAAGGCTCCCCTCCAATCTTTCCCCTCCGCTCTTCCCCCCTGGCTCTTCCCCCCTGGCCCTTCCCCCCTGGCTCTTGCCCCCTGGCCCTTCCCCCCTGGCTCTTCCCCCCTGGCTCTTTCCCCCTGGCCCTTCCCCCCTGGCTCTTTCCCCCTGGCTCTTCCCCCCTGGCTCTTTCCCCCTGGCTCTTTCCCCCTGGCCCTTCCCCCCTGGCTCTTTCCCCCTGGCCCTTCCCCCCTGGCTTTTTCCCCATGGCCCTTCCCCCCTGGCTCTTTCCCCCTGGCCCTTCCCCCCTGGCTCTTTCCCCCTGGCCCTTCCCCCCTGGCTCTTTCCCCCTGGCCCTTCCCTCCTGGCTCTTTCCCCCTGGCCCTTCCCCCCTGGCCCTTCCCCCCTGGCTCTTCCCCCTGGCTCTTCCCCCCTGGCCCTTCCCCCCTGGCCCTTCCCCCCTGGCTCTTTCCCCCTGGCCCTTCCCCCCTGGCCCTTCCCCCCTGGCTCTTTCCCCCTGGCCCTTCCCCCCTGGCTCTTTCCCCCTGGCTCTTCCCCCCTGGCACTTTCCCCCTGGCCCTTCCCCCCTGGCTCTTTCCCCCTGGCCCTTCCCCCCTGGCTCTTTCCCCATGGCCCTTCCCCCCTGGCACTTTCCCCCTGCTTTCCTGAAGGGATCTGCCCTTACCCGCTCGATGCCTGTATTCCTTATCATGTGCTCGTGCTGGACAAGTGCTGTCTCTCTCCAGCCGGGGGTGTGGCGTGCCGTACCCTTTATAGCGTGTCCCGTTAGTGTTCATGAGACCCGTTATTGTGCTCGTTCAGATCCAGATCTCGTCCCAATGCCTGACATTCTCCCAAGCCTCCCCTCGTTGGGGCATGTTTCGTCTAGGCTAGAGCATACCAGTAACCAGTTTTGAGGCGCCTCAAAACTAGGCTAGGGCATACCAGTAACCAGTTCTTGGCGTAAGCTTTCTTTTTATTAGGAACCAGAAAATCGATCCCTCGTTGGTTTGATTGCTGTTCTCGGCATATGTAAGTTTTGTTTTCTCTGCTTTCCCACATCCCCGTTATAAGCAGTTCCATCGGCAGCAACGTGACCAGCCTTCCCTCCACACTAATACAGCTCAGCTCCACCCTCACTGCTCTGTACGCCCCCTCTTTCCCTGCTCTCTCACATACACACTCACTCACTCACTCACTCATATCATATCCTCTGTGCATCGCAATATCAACATAACCCCTCCACCTTAGTACAGCTCAGATCCACCCTCACTACCGTGTACACCCACAGACTCGAATTCACCTACTCACTCACGCACCCCTCACACATATTCTCTGTATGCTCTCCTCCTCACTCACTCACTCAAAAGCTTTGCTTACACTCTTTTCTATACACACACCACATCACTCCCTCCCTCCATCCTTGCACAATGCACCTCCACTCTCACTGATCTGTACACCCACAGTCTTCCCCTCCCCTATTCCCTCTTCCCCTCATCTCCCCCACTTCCCCTCCCACATACTTTGCCCCCTATGTCTCCTCCTCCCCCCTCCCCCGCCCCTTCCCTTCCCTCCCCTCCCTCCCTCCCTCCCCTCTCTCCCGCTCTCCCCTCCAGCCACTTAGGCTTCAATAACATTCCTGGAACCTTCCCTTCCTCCGTGACGAGGCTGCTGCAGCTGCGCACACTGTAGGCCGCACATTTGTAAATGCAGTATACCGTGTTCTATGAGCATATAATGTAGTGTATTGCACTGGTATCTCTAAAAAGATGCAGGCCAGTTGTGATTGTAACGTCATTTATACAAGAATAGCCTCACCAGCTCACAGGCAGCATTCCCGCTGGCCTTGCCAAACTATTTTTTTCCTCAGCAACGCTTTTTTCCCTTGAGCAACAGACACTCCTGAAACACTTGCCATCCCCCCTCCCTTCCCCACTCCCCCCATTCCCCTCGCAGCAACTTGGCTCAGAATCAGCTCACAGGCAGCATCCCCACTGGCCTTGCCAAACTCTCCCGCCTTGCCTTCCTGTATGCCCCATCCCTCTCCCTGGGCCCTCCTCCCTCCCCCCCCCCCCACACACTTTCGCCCGCTCTCGTTTTCCCCTCCTCTCTCCCCTCACTCATTCCATGCTCTTGAGTCGACTCAAAAGCAGATGATTGCCCTTTCACTCCTACCCTACCCTCCCACGCTCCATCCCTCCCACCCATGCTCTCTCCTTGCTCATTCCAACTTTTTCACTAGGACGGGAATTGAGGCGACTTTTGAGTCGACTAGGTGACTTTTGAGTCGACTAGGCGACTTTTGAGTCGACTAGGCGACTTTTGAGTCGACTAGGTGACTTTTGAGTCGACTAGGCGACTTTTGAGTCGACTAGGTGACTTTTGAGTCGACTAGGTGACTTTTGAGTCGACTAGGTGACTTTTGAGTCGACTCAAAAGCCATCCCTCCCACCCATCCTCTCTCCCCTCCTTGCTCATTCCATCTTTTTCGCTTGGACGGGATGAGAATTGGCTTCAGGGCTCCGATCCGACCCCTCCCACATTACACCCCTCCTCCGTTCTCGCACCACCAGCATTAACACCCCTCCTCCGTTCTCGCACCACCAGCATTTACACCCCTCCTCCGTTCTCGCACCATCAGCACTAACACTCCTCGACATCCCTTCTTCCCCTGTCTCCCCGGCTTCTCTTCAGTCGCTTGGACGGCAATAAGTTTCAGGGCTCCATCCCGTCCCAACTCTACTCCCTCACTAACATCTCCTACCTGTGAGTACCCTTGCCTCTCTCTCTCTGCCTGTTGCTATCCTTCCTCCTGCCATTCCCTCCCAGCTTTACTCCCTCACCATCGCCTCCTACCTCTGAGTGCCCCCGCCTCGTGGTGTATCTGTTAATAGCTTGTCAGCTCAATTCCTACTGCACTGCTTGGACCCCGTCCCCCCCCTCATCTGTGCCCGCTGCTCTCTGGTGTTTTTTCTAGAATTCTAAAAGGACACATGCCCCTACCTACCTCTTGGTGTTTCTGTCAATACCTCTTGAGGTGGCCCCTCTTCTGTCAATACCTCTTGAGGTGGCCCCTCGTCTGTCAATACCTCTTGAGGTGGCCCCTCTTCTGTCAATACCTCTTGAGGTGGCCCCTCTTCTGTCAATACCTCTTGAGGTGGCCCCTCTTCTGTCAATACCTTTTGAGGTGGCCCCTCTTCTGTCAATACCTCTTGAGGTGGCCCTCTTCTGTCAATACCTCTTGAGGTGGCCCCTCTTCTGTCAATACCTCATCACCTCAATTCCTCCTGTGCTGTGTGCACCCCTTCACCTCAATTCCTCCTGTGCTGTGTGCACCCCTTCACCTCAATTCCTCCTGTGCTGTGTGCACCCCTTCACCTCAATTCCTCCTGTGCTGTGTGCACCCCTTCACCTCAATTCCTCCTGTGCTGTGTGCACCCCTTCACCTCAATTCCTCCTGTGCTGTGTGCACCCCTTCACCTCAATTCCTCCTGTGCTGTGTGCACCCCTTCACCTCAATTCCTCCTGTGCTGTGTGCACCCCTTCACCTCAATTCCTCCTGTGCTGTGTGCACCCCTTCACCTCAATTCCTCCTGTGCTGTGTGCACCCCTTCACCTCAATTCCTCCTGTGCTGTGTGCACCCCTTCACCTCAATGCACCCCTTCACCTCAATGCACCCCTTCACCTCAATGCACCCCTTCACCTCAATGCACCCCTTCACCTCAATGCACCCCTTCACCTCAATGCACCCCTTCACCTCAATGCACCCCTTCACCTCAATGCACCCCTTCACCTCAATGCACCCCTTCACCTCAATGCACCCCTTCACCTCAATGCACCCCTTCACCTCAATGCACCCCTTCACCTCAATGCACCCCTTCACCTCAATGCACCCCTTCACCTCAATGCACCCCTTCACCTCAATGCACCCCTTCACCTCAATGCACCCCTTCACCTCAATGCACCCCTTCACCTCAATGCACCCCTTCACCTCAATGCACCCCTTCACCTCAATGCACCCCTTCACCTCAATGCACCCCTTCACCTCAATGCACCCCTTCACCTCAATGCACCCCTTCACCTCAATGCACCCCTTCACCTCAATGCACCCCTTCACCTCAATTCACCCCTTCACCTCAATGCACCCCTTCACCTCAATTCACCCCTTCCTTCCTCTGAGCCCGCTGCTCTCTTCGATCCAACCCTCCGTCTCTCCGGCAGCATTTCTCTGTGGTTTTTCTGTAGACTCAATAACCATCATACACTCCGTTCTCATCATACTTCCCACACCCCTACAGGCCCCCCTCTACTCCTCTGTGCCCGCAGCTCCCTTCGATCCAACCCTCTCTCTGGCAGGAATTCGGGTGGTTTTTTCATTCCCTTACGCCTGTGTCTGTCTGTGACCCTACTCTCCTATGTACCCTTGGCAGCTCCCTTCGATCCCACGGAGTCTCCGGCACCATTTCGCCCCTCTGTGGTTCTTTCTGCTTTTTAGTCGACTCAAAAGCATTTCGACCCTCTGTGCTTCTTTCTGCTTTTGAGTCGACTCAAAAGCACCTCTTCTTTCTGCTTTCTTCCAGCACCATTTCGCCCCTCGGTGCTTCTTTCTCAACTTCTACATGCCCCTCTGTCCACTCTTGAGGCGACTCCAAAACACACTCATTCCCCCTGCCCCTCTTTTTTTCCTTGGACATCTTCCAGTGAGCGCGGCGTCAGGAGACGGGTAAAATGTCCAAGGATTCCCTGCGCCCCTCTTTTTTTCCCTTCCCTCCTCTGTGCCCTTCGCAGCTCCCTTCGGTCCAACCGACTCTCGGGCGGCATTGCCCCTCTAATCTCTCGACTCCAAGCCCTGCAATTACTGTGAGTAGCTTAAAGCCCTGGCTTTCAAGCCCTGGAGCTGCTGTGATATAGCTTAAATCCCTCGTTTGGACTCCAAGCCCTGTACCAGCTGCTGTGAGATAGCTTAAAGCCCTAGTCTCAGTTTTCAAGCCCTGCAGCTGCTGTGATATAGCTTAAAGCCCTAGTCTGGTCTCCAAGCCCTTCTGGCTGACGTCTTGTGCCATTCATGCATGCATCACATGTGTTATGCCCGCATGCTTTGCCATGGCACGGCATGGCATGGCATGGCAGGGACTTGAGGGACAACATGCTGACGTCATCCATCCCATCCACTCTGGCTGCATGCTCCAAGCTCTTCTGGCTGTAAGCCGCCTTTCTTCCGTTTCATATTGCACATCATGGATGGCATCGTTTGTCCGTTTTCTCTCGCACTCTGGCTGAATGCAGCAAGCTCTTCTGGCTGTAAACCGCCATGCTTCCCTCGTGCCTGGCATCGTTTGTCGGTTTCATATCACGCATTGCTACTTGTCTTCCCTTGGCTTCCGTCCCCTCTTGTCTTCCTTCCCCCTCTCGACTTCCTTCCCATGCGCCCCTCCTGGGCCTCCCCTCCCCCCGTCCTCCGTTCCTCCCTTGTCTTCCTTCCCATTCGCCCCTCCCCTTCACCCCTCTCCGCTGCTTCAGCAACAGTCGCCTCTCAAGCTCCATCCCTGCTGCAACCAGCAATCAATCGTCTCCCTCTCCCCTCCCGATCCTCCACCCGTCCTCCATTCCTCCCGTGTCTTCCCATGCATCCCTCCTCTTCACCCCTCTCAGGTGCTTGAGCAACAATCGTCATTCAGGCTCCATCCCTGCTGCAACCAGCAAAGTGATTGTCACTCTTCCTTTTCTTCCTCCCCCACTCCCCTCCACCCTTTCCCTCTCTTCCCTTTCGTCCCGCCCCTTCCCGTCACCCCTCCCAGCTGCTTGAGCAACAATCGTTTCTCAGGCTCCATCCCTGCTGCAACCAGCAATCGATCGTCTCCCTCTCCCCGCTCCCCTCCTCCCCCCTTCCTCCTTTCCTCCCTTGTCTTCCTTCCCATGCGCCCCTCCCCTTCACCCCTCTTAGCTATTTGAGTAACAATCGCCTCTCAGGCTCCATCCCCGCTGCAATCAGCAGATTGATCGTCTCGTCACCCTTCCTTTCCTCCCCCACACCCCCTCCCCCTGCCCCCCTCCCTCCCTTCCCCACTCCGCCTTTCCCCCCTTTATCGTCGCATTCTCCCCCTCCCCCCTTCACCCCCCTCAGTTATTTGAGCAACAACAGCCTCTCAGGTCAGGCTCCATCTTTGCTGCAATCAGCTAACCAATCGTCGCCACCCTTCCCTTTCTCCCCCCCTCCCTCTCCCCCCTCTCACCCCCCCCCCCCCCGTCTCCCGATTCTCCCCTTCCCCACTTTGAACCCTTTCAGCTATTTTACCAACAATCGCCTGTCGGGCTCCATCCCTGCGACAATGAGTAGACTGACGAGGCTCAGATACCTGTGAGGCTCGGATACCTGTGAGGCTCGGATACCTGTGAGGCTCAGATACCTGTGAGGCTCGGATACCTGTGAGGCTCGGATACCTGTGAGGCTCGGATACCTGTGAGGCTCGGATACCTGTGAGGCTCGGATACCTGTGAGGCTCGGATACCTGTGAGGCTCGGATACCCGTGAGGCTAGACTAGTAGCAGCGCCGATGGCGGCCCAGATACTCTTCGTTGTTGCCTGTGCTTCACGCCCCTCTTGTCGTTCCTTCCGTTGTGAACCCCCCACCCCCCATCTCCTCTCCCACCAAACCCCTCCCCTCCTCCTCCGTCTCCTGCCAACCCCATCTTTCCGTTTCTCTCTCACTCATTTGAACCATCTTTCCCCATTCTCTCTGTGCTGTTTTTTCTCGTTCCAACCGTCTCTCTCCCTCTCTGCTTCTCTCCCTTTCCATGTTTGAGTCGACTCAGTAGCAGGCTTTTGAGTGGACTCAAGAAATCCTCGTCAAGAAATCCTCGCCGCACCCCCACCTTCTCAACTTCCCTTGCCTCTTCTCTCCCCCCCCCTCCCTCTCTCTCTCTCCCCCCTCCCGCTCTCTCTCTCCCCCCCTCTCTCTCTCTCTCTCTCTCTCTCTCTCTCTCTCCCCTCCCTCTCTCTCCTCTCCCCCCCCCCCTCTCTCCTCTCCCCCTCCCTCTCTCTCCTCCCCTCCCTCCTCTCTCCCCTCTCCCCCCGTCCGCCCGCCCCCCTTCCTCTTTCCCCCTGCACTGTGCAGGTTTCTCGACTCCAACCGTCTCTCGTCCTCTCTCCCTCTGTCTGTCATGCCCCTCAAGCCTTCCCTTTGTTCCAACCTCTTCCCCCTTCCCCCCCGCCCCCTTTCCCTCCCCCCCCCCTCCGTCTCCCCCCTCTTCCCTTCACTGGGCAGGTTCCTCGACTCCAACCGTCTCTCGTCCTCTCTCCCTCTGTCCCTCACTGCCCTCTCCATGCTCTCTTACCTGTGAGTACCCTACTCGGTTCAGAGCGGTGCAAAGTGGTTGAATGTGAAATTTGGCCATGCCTCTCAAGCGGTCCTTCACATTCATGGGAATCCGGGGTACATAGCTAGGCATGTGGGGCAGGTAGAAGCATGCGTCCTAACCCCCCCCTGGCTAGCCTACGCCATACCTCTTTCTCTCCGTCGCTTTTCCTCTGCCCCTCCCATGCCCTCTTTCCACCGTTGAGTACCCTCCTCGGTTCAGAATGTGGTGACTTTTGAGTCGACTCAAAAGTCACCTCGTCACCGTGACTTTTGAGTCGACTCAATAGTCACCGTTGAGTACCCTCCACGGTTCAGAATGTGAAATTTATCTATTACTCTCCCCCTCGATCTCTCTCTCCCTTCCCATATTTCTCGTCCCTCACACCAGTACTGTCAGCAACAACACCCTCTCGGGTCGCATCCCTCCTGCCCTCAACTCCCTCTCTTACCTTGAGTACCTGTAAGCCTCCCTGTGATGTCACCCTGTTAACAGTTACCCTGTTACCACGTTACCCTGTTACTGTTACCATGTTACCCTGTTACCACGCTACACATGTTACCATGTTACCCTGTTACCGTGTTACCCTGTTACCATACCTGTTACCCTGTTACCAAGTTACCATGTTACCCTGTTACCATGCTAGCCTGTTACATGTTACCCTGTTACCATGGCACCTTATTGCCATTTTATTATGTTACCCTGTCTGTTGCTCTGTTTTCTTTCCCCTGTGCCATGCCCTTTCTCCGGTTGCATCACCTCTCCCACCCTCGAATCCCTTTCTTACCTCTCAGTAAGCTCTCAGTTCATGTTACAGTGTTCCCGTTAGCTTCGACCTGTGTACCCCCCCCCCCATCCCCTTCCCCCCCCTTCCCCCCCCTTTCATGTCAACCCGTTAGCTTTCACCTGTAACCGGCCTTTTCGTGTTACTTTGTTACCTTCGACCTGTAACTTTACTTCCTCTAATCGCATCCCTCCCACCCCCGGCTCTATCTCCTACCTCCTCCCTTCCCTGTCCTCTTACCCTTGTACTCTCTTACCCTCTTACTCTCTTACCCTCTTACTCTCTTACTCTCTTACCCTCTTACTCTCTTACCCTCTTACTCTCTTACTCTCTTACCCTCTTACTCTCCTACCCTCTTACTCTCTTACCCTCTTACCCTCTTACTCTCTTACCCTCTTACTCTCTTACTCACTTACCCTCTTACTCTCTTACCCTCTTACTCTCTTACCCTCTTACTCTCTTACCCTCTTACTCTCTTACCCTCTTACTCTCTTACTCTCTTACCCTCTTACTCTCTTACCCTCTCACTCTCTTACCCTCTCACTCTCTTACCCTCTTACTCTCTTACCCTCTTACTCTCTTACCCTCTTACCCTCTTACTCTCTTACCCTCTTACTCTCTTACACTCTTACCCTCTTACTCTCTTACCCTCTTACTCTCTTACCCTCTTACTCTCTTACCCTCTTACTCTCTTACCCTCTCACTCTCTTACCCTCTCACTCTCTTACCCTCTCACTCTCTACCCTCCCTCTTACTCTCTTACCCTCTTACTCTCTTACCCTCTTACTCTCTTACCCTCTTATTCTCTTACACTTCTATTCTTACCATCTTACTCTCTTGATGCTGCTACTCTATTTCTTTGTTGCTTTGTTACCCTGTTTACCTTGAGGGCGAGATCCCAACTACCCTGGTCATTGGTGATTTTTTAGAATTCTAAAAAATGACTCCAGTGTAGTGTAGGTCTCTGGTCAAAACCTATCTTACCTCTCTCTCCCCTCCCTCCCTCCCCCTTCCCTCCCCTCCCTCCCTCCCCCTTCCCTCCCCTCTCCCTCCCCCCCCCTTCCCTCCCCACCTCCCCTCCCTCCCTCTCTCCCACCAGCCAATTGGATCGCAACAAATTTGTGGGCGACATTCCGACCTCCCTGGTCAACCTTCCTTATCTCTTTCACCTGTATGCCTTTTTTTGCAAAACGGATCTTCGAACCTTGAGTTTTGGAGGTGAGGATTTTTTCCCTCGCCCAGGGGCGAGGATTTCTCGCCGGGGTTGTTCTATGGTTGTTCTATGGTTGTTCTATGGTTGATCTGTGGTTGTTCTATGGTTTTTCGATGGTTTTTTTTCCCAACTAACCGAACGGCACGGTTTCCATTTTCCCCTCTCTCCCTCTCCCCTCCCCCCCCCTCTCCGTCTCCCATCAACCACCTGCAGAGACCTCTCCCGCAACCAACTTAACGGCACGGTTCCTGACATCTTTCCTGCTGGCAATGGGTTAACACCTTGTGAGCACACAGTGGACTCTCTCTTCCCTCCCTCTCTCCCCCCCTCCCTTCCTCCTCCGTCTCTCCCCCCATCCCTCCCTTCCTCCCTCCATCTCTCCCACCCTCCCTTCCTCCCTCCGTCTCTCCCCCCCTCCCTTCCTCCCTCCGTCTCTCCCCCCTCCCTCCTTTCCTCCCCCCTCCCTGCCTCACTCACTCATAACTCCCCTCCCCTTCCTTCCCCCCCCCTTCCTAGTCTGTCAGTTCTCTACCTCAGCCTGTCTCACTCGCCCTCCCTCAATCCCTTTTTTTGTTGGAGGTGTTTAAACGGTTGCCTTAGAGCATTGGAATTTTCATACTCCCCCCCCATAGCTCCACGCACTCCCATTCCCTGCCGTCGCCTTTTTTTTTTCGTTTGAGGCGGCTAAGTTGTATCACAGCATCAAGAGCCACCATACTTCTCCTATTCCCTCTGCTCCCCCCAGCTCCATCCCTCCCATTCGCTGCCCTGCCGCTGCTCTCTTTTTCGTCTGAGGCGGTTAATTTGTGTCTCACAGCATCAGGAGCTCACCATACTTCTCCGATCCCATCTGTCTCACTCGCCCTCGCTTGATCCCTCCTCTCCTCTCTGCCTTCATTCTCTTTTTCGTCTGAGGCGGTTAAGTTGTCTCCAAGCATCAGGAGCTCAGCATACTTCTCCTATCCCCTCTGCTCCCCTCTGCCCCTTCACACTCCCATTCTTACTATCCTCGTTAGAGACATGTCTTATAACAGGCTCAGTGGTGTGCTGCCTTGCACCGTCTCTACATGCACATCACTTGTGTCACTGTAAGTTTCCATTTGTAGTTCTATTCTTTAACATTTTTTTTATTTTGCTTTTCCATTGCCTTTTATGTTTCTTCTCATTTCCCATTTCGTGTTTCTTAATTCTCTTATTTCCTGTTGTTTCTCATTTCCCACCTCTTATTTCTGATCTCTGGAATGCCTTCAAGTTTGATCCCTGCACTTTTTGGTGGACCACCACCAGTGATCAACTCCCATTCCTTCCTCTGTTTGCTCTTTGAGAATTCTCACACCCAAGATAGTTGCTTTTCTACGATCCTCAGTTACCTACCATCCGTGTCTCTCTTTGCTCTACTCTCGCCTCTATACTACCCCCTCTCCATTGCCATCTTAAGTTCGCCTCTCTATTCGTTCTCCCAACTTTGAGGTGAACTTTAGGTCGACTCTGGTGTTTTCTGTACTTGGCCTTTTCTGTCCCGCGCATATGCAACACCCCTTCCCACCTCCCTCTCCCTTCCTCACCCACCCACCCACCTACTACTCTCTGCAGTGACGTCAGCAACAACGCCCTCAGTGGGAGGCCAGCAGAATTAGTCAGCAAGCTGCAGTCACTGGCATACCTGTAAGCTCTTCTCATGTCTCTCCCGCAACTACTTCTTTGGTCCGGCAAGCATTGTCTACCCCCAGGGCACCCCGCTGCTCTCCCAAGCAGCAGCAGCAACGGGATCGATTCGTGGGCTTGAGGCCGGCAGAACTAGTCAGCAGGCTGCAGTCGCTGGCATACCTGTGAGCACTCCTGATGACTCGTGGCTGTTTCTGCTGCAGACTAGTTTTGAGGCGCCTCACAACTAGACTCTCCCTGGCGTCTCTGTGGGTTCAAAGCAATCCTGCAGGGATTGCAGCGTAGACGCTGAACCATCCCCTCTCCTCTCCCCCCCCCGCCCCCACCTCCCCCCCCTCCCCCCAGCCACCTCTCTCGCAACTACTTAACCGACCCGCTCCCCCGCATGTACTCAGCTCCAGCCATATCTCTCCTCGACCTCTCCCACAACTACTGCGTTGGCTTAACAAGCTAGTGCCACTCCCTCTCCTCCCCCTCCCCTCTCCCTCCCCCATCCCTCCCCCATCCCTTCCCCATCCCCTCCCCCCCCCCCAGCAACCTCTCGCGCAACTATTTCACCGGGCCACTCCTCCGCGTGTATCCAGCCCCAGCCATCTCGCTGCTCGACCTCTCACGCAACTGCTTCTTTGGTCCTCCCCGCTTCATCCCCTTCCCTGTTCTCCCCTCCCCCCAGCAACCTCTCGCGCAACTATTTCACCGGGCCGCTCCTCCGTGTGTATCCAGCCCCAGCCATCTTGCTGCTCGACCTCTCCCGCAACTGCTTCTTTGGTCCTCCCCACTTCTTCCCCTTCCCTGTTCTCCCCCCCCCCCAGCAACCTCTCGCGCAACTATTTCACCGGGCCGCTCCTCCGTGTGTATCCAGCCCCAGCCATCTCGCTGCTCGACCTCTCCCGCAACTGCTTCTTTGGTCCTCCCCACTTCTTCCCCTTCCCTGTTCTCCCCCCCCCCAGCAACCTCTCGCGCAACTACTTCACCGGTCCTCTTCCCCGCGTGTATTCAGCCCCTGCCATCTCGCTGCTCGACCTCTCCCGCAACTACTTCTTTGGTCCGGCAAGCATCGTCGACACCCAGGGCACGCCGCTGATCTCCCAAACCTCCGCGCCAGGCACGGGAACCATCCAGGGGTCCGGACCTGCAGGTTCGGTGGCGCTGAGCGTTGGGAGGAACTGCCTTGTGTATGAGACGGGGGGGACTGGGGGAACGACAGGAACGGGGTCGACGCTGAGTCTTGAAGGGCAGCGGAGTGAGAGTGACTGTAGCTTGTTCTGCCGAACCGGGCTGAGTGGTTCGGCAACCGAAGCTGAGAGCATGCAGTGCGGAGGCTCGGGAGTGTGCGTTGCCAAGGCGGTAACCAGCAAGTCGCCGCCGACGGTTACATTCGCATGTGAGTGCTACCGTCTCCAGTATGTGTTACAACTCATGTACTTTATGTATGAGACATGAACTATTTGTTTTGACTTTTGGTCCTCGTGAAGATTTGTAGTAAACGTGACGTTTCTTTAAAAGAACCACTGCTTTATTGTAACCTTTAACTGTAGAATCTAATCCCCTCGTTTCCCTTCCCGGTCACCCCTCCCATCCCCTCCCCCTCCAGGCTCCCCAACACCTCCCTTGCCCAGAAGCCCCCCTCCACAGCCCCCCCCCTCTCCACCACCACACCCACCGCCCTCCCCTCCCCCCGTCCCTCCTCCCTTTCCACCCCCCTCTCCCCCTCCCCCCTCTCCCCCTCCCCCCTCTCCCCCTCCCTCCTCTCCCCCTCCCCCTCTCCCCCTCCCCACTCTCCCCCTCCCCCCTCTCCCCTCCCCCCTCTCCCCCTCCCCCCTCTCCCCCTCCCCCGTCTCCCCCTCCTCCCTCACCCCCCCCTCCCTCATCCCCTGACTCCCCGCCTCCCCCTTCCTCTCCCCTTTCCCCCCCATCACCCCCTTCCCCCCCTGTCTCCTCACCTCCCCCTTCCCCTCCCCTTTCTCCCCCCTCACAACCCTCCCCTACAACCTCTCCTCCTCCCTTACCCCCCCCGCTCCCTCTCCCCCTCCACCCTCCCCTCCCCCACCCTCCCCTCCTCCCGCTCCCCCCTCTCCTCCACCCTCCCCACCTCCCCCCCCTTCCCCTCCTCCTCCCCCAAGCCCACCCCCATCCCCTCCACCTCCCCCCGCCCCCTCCCCCCCGCCAACTGGCTGCTTCTGGAACGGCAGCAAGTTTGTTTGCAATGGGAAGGTGTAACAGAATCTCGGGCAGGTGTAGGAAAGCCTCGCGCAGGGGTAGGAGAATCTTGGACAGGTGTAAGAGAATCTCGGGCAGGTGTAGCAGCAACGGGGACGACCTGTACCTGCAGCATTAACACGTGGGGTAGCTGTAGCAGCAGGGAGGCAGCTGTAGCAGCAGGGAGGCAGCTGTAACAGCAGGGAGGCAGCTGTAGCAGCAGGGAGGCAGCTGTAACAGCAGGGAGGCAGCTGTAGCAGCAGGGAGGCAGCTGTAGCAGCAGGGAGGCAGCTGTAGCAGCTGGGATGCAGCTGTAGCAGCTGGGATGCAGCTGTAGCAGCAGGGAGTTGCTGTGAAAGGGTTGGGGAAGTTGCACTTACAGCAGTAATGACTGGGGCAGGTGGGATCAGGGACAGGGTCTGCAGTAGCGATCAAAGGCAGTTGCTATGGGGGAAGCTGTAGCAGCAACAGCAGTTCCAAGTGGGGTTGTTGTAGCAGGAGCAGCAGCAACGACAGCAGCTGGGCCAGTGGTAACAGAAAAAACTGTAACAGTAACTAATGTTAGACTGACTCGCGGCAAAGAAATGCTTTGACTGGCTGTGTAATAGGGCGAGTTGAGTGTGGCTCGTCACTCAGCTTCCTTGATTGGGCGGGTTGCATATTTAGCAGTGCAGCCTACGCCCATGTTTTGGTTAGGTTTTGAAAAAGTGCCGCACATTTACACAATGCTAATGTATGCTAGCTACCTTTCAAGATTCTGCGTCCTTGTTGAGCTATTGTCTTGTTAAAATTAAGCAAATCATGTGGTGGCCTTTTTTAGGAACAAACCAAATTTGGGAGCAATGGCTGAACTGTATGTTGTTTAGTCAAATTGTCTTGAAATGCTTTGAAGTGAGGGTGCTGAGCTAGCCATACTGGCGTCTTTCGTTTGTAGAACAGCTTTTGTGAAGGGAATGTGAACTGGGGAACTGCCCAAAAGCGATGCCCAAGTGTGCCTACCTTCTTTTCGCAGAGGTCGGGCAATGTCTGTGAGGAGTTCCCTTTCCAGCCCCGAAACAACCATTGGCTACCTCGTTCATCCAGTGGACTTGAAGTTTGGTCCGGTTCTTATTGCGAAAGCAACCCTCATATCAAGAACCCTCGCACCGCTCAAGGTTTCCCCAGCAGCCCAGCGTCGTTACAAGCACAGTCCATAGCTCGAGTCGCTTCACGTCCCTGGTGTTACAGTACCAGCGACCCCCAGCCCCCCGAGGTTGGGGCGGAAAGCCTGGACGGCAGTTGCTGAGCCGTCCTCAACTCGAACCCCGCGAGGTGTTTGGAAAAGCGAGCTACAATAATATTATCATGACGGTAAGTGAAATTTTTGTCACCTGGGAGGCGAATCAGGTTCAGGACCGCTAAGCTTTATGTTTACAGCAATCACCATTTCAAAAAGAGCTTAGTTGAAACCATCATACTTCTCTAATCGAAACAGGTACTCCACAAATTCTCCCTCAGGCCCCCCGGTCCTGATCGCTCCGGGAAGACTCAGCCCCGCTGCGGTTCGTACACATGTTTTCTATTGAGCTCTACTTTTTGGCACGCGGCCTGAGCCTGTAAGCAGGAAATGGTCGAACCCAAACAAATGGGACATTCAAGGGGAAAACCAACAGTAAACACTGTCACTTGGTTACAAATTTTCGCTCATACACTAAATTTTCCTGCGCGACTTCCCAGCTCAGATTCTCGCACTTGCCGAAACACGATCTAATTGTTCGCTAACCGTACAGACTGCAGCCAATCAGGTTCAGTGTCAACGCGAGTCATGCTGAGAACTTGGTGGATGGGATTAAAATTGACTGTTTTGGGAGGGACAATATAGGATAACATGTGTACCAGCCAATCGAGGGAGGGCTGAGCGCTCCGCGCTTCGATTTCTCCAGCCATCAGATCGAGCCGCGATAAGCTGGACTGCCCCTCCCCGCGACTCCCCTATTCCAACCCAACCCAATGCGAAGCAAACCCAACCACCCATATTCCTCGGCTAAACCCTAACTGAGGTGACTAATAAATTCGCGCCAGTTTCTTTCACCATCATCACCAGCAATTCTTCCTGCTACTTATACGAGCTTCCGACGCCTCTCTCTCTCAACAACCTCCATCGAATTTCGGCTTTAATATAGCCCTGCAAAGGTCTGCTTCGCCACATCTCCCACTTACCAAGCCTGCAAATATCCGCGTCGGCCCGAATAGCCTCTGCCTAAAAGCTCCGTTTTCACGCCAGTATGGATACTACGCGGATGAAACGCGCTGCGACTTGGACATTCGCAGGCCTATGCCTGGCGCTCGCCGTAATCTCCTGCTGCCATATGGCGGACAATTACCTCGTCATTTCGTACCCCGACGCGTGCGCAACGTCGTCCGACCGCACCCATTGCGCCGCAGAATTCCGCGTGGCTCGGCGATCCCTAGGCGTCGTCCAACAGTCGCTAGAGCAAGTAACCACCGCCATGGTCGCGGCGGTCGAAGCGCAAGTCGCGGCGATAATCGCGGCGGCCGACGAGATTAAAGCGTCCAACGTGCAAAACGACCATTTTACGAACGCCATGGCGAGAACCTGCGCGCGGCAGGCGAACATCGCACTCCGGTACCTGGGGCAGGCGGCGGACGCGATCGAGGCGGGCACGAACCAGCGCGATGTTCCGTACTGGCTCGCGGCGGCCGACACGCAGGTCGGCAACTGCGTCGACGGCTTCCAGACCTTCTCGCCCGCCGCGCAGGGCCTCCCCGCTTACATCCACCTCGAGGTTCGTTACTAGCCCTATCCGATCCGTTATTAGGTTCTTTTATCCCTATGATAACTGAGCCGATGGGTTCCAGACATTCTCGCCCGCCGCGCAAGGCCTCCCCGCTTACATCCACCTCGAGGTTCGTTACAATCCCAAAACCAAATAAAAGCAAAATCTTACTGTTCTGCGAGTGGATCAGCAATTCAATTACCTTTTGTTCATTTGTCTAAATCTCTTTTTCTAATGAATCCGCAATCTCCTTCCGTCTCGGTACTCGAAACCGCAGTACACGGCGAAGAAAGCGGCCAGCACGCTCGACGCCCTCGTCGCCATCACCAACGCCGCCGCGAAAGCCGCCGTGGCCACGGATGCTGCCGTCCCATCGACGGAGGAGGACGTGGCACCGGTGCGTGGACGCCGCATGGCCGTCCGATCGAGCACCGTGGGATCCACCGGAAACGGCGCGCTGGACTGGCTCGAGCCGGGCTTGTACGCGCAACTGCAGCAGCTTCAAACGAGTCTGAACGCTGAATTCGCAGCCGCTGCTGCTGGGGGAGATAACGTGGAGAGGAGGGAGCTGTTTAGCCACCACCACCACCACCGCGACAGGAAGAGCAAGAAGGACAAGAGCAGCAGCAGCAGTGGCAAGTCAAAGTCGAGCAAGAAAGCGTCTCCTACTGCGGGACCGATGGTGGTTAGTGCGACGCTGAACGCCAGCGCGACCGTCGGATCTAGCGGGTACTCGACGATCCAATCCGCCGTCGACGCCGCGCCCGGCGGCTCGCGCTTCGTGATCTACATTCCCGCGGGGACGTACGACGAGCAGGTGCTGATCTTCTTTCTCTGCATTGTTCCCCCCCCCTTTCTTTTCCACCTCATTCCACCTCATTCCACCTCATTCCACCGCATCCCGTCCGATCCACCTCTGTACAACGAGCAGGTGCTGATTGTGCCTTCTCTGCATCTTCCTTTTTTGTTTGCTGCGGTCGAAACTCGTACCACCTATGTCTAACTCGCTCCACCTCACATCTTTCCATCTCATACCATCTCTGCACAACGACCAGGTGCTGATCGAAACGACGGACATTGTGCTGATCGGCGCGGGCGCGGATAAGACGATTATTACCGGCGACGCGAGTGCGGGCAGCGGGTCCGGGACCTTCGAGTCGGCTACTGTCGGCGTGGATAGCGACAGGTAAAGCTGCCTGGGTCCCTTTCCGCTGTACCATTTTCTCCTATTTTGCCATCCTTCCCCCTGCTTTTTACCTTTCTCTCAGCCTCTGATCTCTGAGCCCCCCCGCACGTCCTGTTCCCGTCCCCTCGCAACTCCGTGTAACGCCCAACTGGTTACCACCCGACAGGTTCGTCGCGTTCGGAATCAAGTTCGTCAACACGGCGGGCCCCGACAACCACCAGGCCGTCGCGTTTCGCGCGACGGGCGACCAATCCGCGCTCTTCGATTGCGCGTTCGACGGAGCGCAAGATACGCTGTATGTGGACGCGGGGCGACAGTACTACAAAAACTGCTGGATTGGCGGCTCGCAGGATTTCATTTTCGGCGACGCGGCGGTGGTTATCGACAGCCCCAAGATCCAGCTACACCCGAGCCCCTCTTTTGTGACTATAACGGCGTCGGGCCGCGCCTCCGACACGCCAACGGGGATTGTGATTCGCGATGCTGTTATCGAGGCAGACAGTAACGTGACTGAAGTGTACCTTGGCCGCCCCTGGAAGAAATGCGCCTTCACCGTTTTTATCAACGCCAACCTGCCCGCGGTAAGACAAACTCCGTTCCCTCCCCCCCGTTCCTCTCCCCTCCTTCCCTCTTCCCTCTTATCCCCTTCCCTCTTCCCTCTTTCTCTTCTCAGGTGGTCGTCATGGATTTTGGGCGGCTGCATGTTCCTCTTGATTCCCCATGTCCCGCATTCCCTCCCAGCGTCATTCCTCCCCTTTCTCTTCCCCACTTACTCGTATTCCAGATGATGGAGAAGGACGGGTGGTTGCCGTGGAACGAGGGCAGCTGGATGTTCCTCCCCCCCCCCCTCCCCCGCCCCTCTTTTTCCTCCCTGCCACCCCTCTTTCCCTCTAACCTCATTCCCTCCCCTCCGTTCCGGCTTTCCCGCCCCCTCAGATGGTCGAGAAGGACGGCTGGCTGTCGTGGAACGAGGGCAGCTGCATGTTCCTCGCCGAGGCGGGCAGCACAGGGCCGGGCGCTTCTTCCCCCCGTGCTGACTGGGTGCAGCCCGGGACCATCACTGACGTCACCGGCTACGATGCCAACACCTTCACTGAGGTCAACAGCTGGCTCAGCTGGGCGGGCTAGGCTCGGACTAGGCTTGAGCAGCAGCAGCAGCAGCAGTAGCAGCAGTAGCAGCAGCAGTAGCAGGAGGAGCAACAGATGCATCAGTTGTAGCTGAAAATTAGAGTAAGCATTGCTGCTATATGCAGTGGCGAACTAGCTTGGGTAGAGGAGAAGGCGAAATACTTGCGTGTTTGCCTAGATGTTTGGTGGGTGCAATATTTGGAGTGCTTCAGCAGCCATTCCTATTGCTGACTAGTTTGGGATGTTTAATGTGAGCAAGGTTGTCATCTCCCTTGATGATTTGTGTCCATAAGTTCAATACAGCGTAGTGCACGCACATATGCACATATGCTGTGTGTGCATGTCACATCTGTGACACATGCAACCGCAGCTTGGTGAGACAGCTTGGATGGGCCTGTGCGCGACATGCAGTAGCACTCTCTTCTCCCCACTCCCCCTCCCCTCCGCCATACTATCACTGGTACCTGTTCTCAGACGGCATTGGAGGGTGTGAGAGGAGCAGGAAAGAGGATACTTGAGCTTTTGTTGCCCCTCCACTCCTCTCCTCGTCCTAGCAGTGACAAGGCGATCATCTCAGTGCTTCCCTCATTCCATCTTTACCCCAATCTACAGACTCCAGTGGAAGGAAAGTGAGAGTGGGCAAGAGGGGGGATCATTTAGCATTTCCTGCCCCTCTCCTTCCCTATCCTTCTAGCAGTGGTGA